GTTAGCCTTGTAGAACCAACAACAATGACAGAATCAGTTGAAAACAGCACTGGTGTCAGCTCAACCCAACGTACTGATGTGACTACACCCTCTGGATCAACAACTGATATTCCGTCTTCTGAGGTTTTCCCAAATGTTACCCTTGTAAAACGCACAACAATAAGGGAATCAGTTGAATCTACCAGCACTGTCACATCAGCCCATCATACTGATGTGACTACACCCTCTGAACCAACAACTGACCTTACATCTACTGAGGCTGTCTCAAATGCTACCCTTGTAGAACCAACAATGACAGAATCAGTTGAAACTAGCACTGGTGTCAGCTCAACTCAGCATACTGATTTGACTACACCCTCTAAATCAACAACTGAATTCATATCAACTAAGGGTGTTTCTAAAGTTACCATTGTAGAAACATCAACAATAACTGGATCAGTTGAAACTAGCACTACTGTCATCTCAAGCCCACATACTGATGTGAGCACACCATATGAATCAACAGTTGATTTTACATCTTCCAAAGCCGTTCCAAAAGTTACCTCTAGTGAAGCCACAATGACAAACCCAGTTGAAACTAGCACTGCTGTCAGCTCAAGCCCACTCATGGATTTGACTACACCCTCTGGACCAACAACTGAAATTACATCTACTGACACTGTCTCAAAAGTTACCTCTGTCAAACCAACAATGGCTGGATCATTGGAAACTAGTACTGGTGTGACTACACCCTCCGGATCAATAACTCATCTAACATCCACTGAGGCAGTCCAAAAACTTACCCCTGATGAAGCAACAACAGGATCAGTTGAAACTGGCACTGGTGTCAGCTCAACTCAACGTACTGATGTGACTGCACCCTCCGTATCAATAACTCATCTTACATCCACTGAGGCAGTCCAAAAACTTACCCCTGATGAAGCAGCAACAGGATCAGTTGAAACTGGCACTGGTGTCAACTCAACCCAACATACTGATGTGACTACACCCTCTGGATTAACAACTGAATTTACATCAACTAAGGTTGTCTCTAAAGTTACCATTGTAGAACCATCAACCATAGCTGGATTAGTTGAAACTAGCACTACTTTCGGCTCAAGTCCACATACTGTTGTGAGCACACCATATGAATCAACAACTGATCTTACACCTTCTGAGGCTGTCTCAAATGTTACCCTTGTAAAACGCACAACAATGAGGGAATCAGTTGAATCCACCATTGGTGTCACATCAGCCCATCATACTGATGTGACTACACACTCTGAACCAACAACTGATCTTACACCTTCTGAGGCTGTCTCAAATGTCACCCTTCTAGAACTAACAACAAAGTCAGAATCAGTTGAAACTAGCACTGGTGTCAGCTCAACCCAACATACTGATGTGACTACATCCTCTGGATCAACAACTGATCTTCCATCTTCTGAGGCTTTCTCAAATATTACACTTGTAGAACGCACAACAATAAGAGAATCAGTTGAATCTACCACCGGTGTCACATCAGCCCATCATACTGATGTGACTACACCCCCTGAACCAACAGCTGATCTTACATCTACTGAGGCTGTCTCAAATGTTACCCTTGTAAAACCAACAACAATGACAGAATCAGTTGAAACTAGCACTGGTATCAGCTCAACCCTGCATACTTATTTGACTACACCCTCTGGATCAACAACTGAATTTACATCAACTAAGGGTGCCTCTAAAGTTACCATTGTAGAAACATCATCAATAACTGGATCAGTTGAAACTAGCACTAGTGTCAGCTCAAGTCCACATACTGATGTGATCACTCCATATGAATCAACAACTGAGTTTGCCTCTACTGAAGCCATCTCAAAAGTTACTTCTGTCAAACCAACGATGACTGGCACTGGTGTCAGCTCAACACAGCATACTAATGTGACTACACCCTCGGGGTCAACAGTTGATTTTACATCTTCCGAAGCTGTCTCAAAAGTTTCCTATATTGAAGGAACAAGGACAGAATCAGTTGAAACTAGCACTGGTGTCAGCTCAAGCCCACTTACGGATTTGACTACACCCTCTTCGTCAACATCTGAGTCTTTTTTAAAACTTAGTTCTGTGAAACCTTTCACAATAACAGCGCCAATAAACATTAGCTCCAGTGTGACCTCAATCCAGCATACTGATATGACTACAACATTTGAGGTTACACCTACAGAGTCAGCCTTGAACCTTACTTCAGGAGGACCAACCACATCTATTGAAACTGTCAGTAATATGACACCAACCAAAGGTACAGGTATGCAAGTTATGATGTTTCGCGATATAACAGCATGCTTATAAATTAATAATATTGCTTTAGAATGTATCACTTGTTGATTGGCAGTGAAAATGGCTAGTGTTGTTTAATTTTGTTTTAAGTATAGATTAATGTGTGAACTAGTTATACTAAATGCTTTTCCTATGCGTTCTTTGATTGTAACTGCGTAATCGCACATTAGTGCTGCGTTATAGTTGTGTGTTGAACACCGGATTGGCATTATCTAGGTAAGTAGTTTAATTAAATTATACCATAATAAACAGTGCATATTTTTGTATTTTGCTAATTGGCATACAATTGCTAGCATCAGAATGTAATATTCACATAATATATAACATGTGCATTCTTCTACAACTTGCTTCACTATGCTATAAAACACTTTGGTTGAAATTGCAAGTAAATGGTAAGCTGTTGTGAAATTGTATATGCTGGACGATGTGAAAAATTATACAGTACTGTGCAGTAAGTTCCTTAATCTAATAGTTTTTATTCAAATATAACTACAATACAAGCACTATTTTTGCAATTACTAACATCAACATATTACCTTCTATCTGAAACACTACCAACAAAGTGCAATATAATGTAATTTATGTTTGTAATTTATAATTATTCGGCACTAAATTCTGCATAATTCTTTATCAATGGCTCCAAATGTTTCACCATATAAAGTGTCATATAATGAGTTTCCCAGTAATGTACCATCAATCGATCTATCCCTTCATTTTATCAATCAAAAGAATGACCATTAAACCAAACCCACATACCAAACTACCTTCCAGCTAAACAATCCAGCTAAAATAACACCCATCCTAAACAACCCCACAAACCCAACCCATGCCATACAACAGCCTTCCCACATATTACGGAGATAAACTGGGTATAACATTTTGTGAATTAACTTTTGAAATAACTTTGAGAATAACTCTGAATAATAATAACTCATGATTATTGTCCCGTTACATTAAACAACTTCTGATAACCTCAAAAAATTATTCATATAGAAGTGTTCTACCCAATTTATGTCCTTTAATAATTATGTAGTGTGACAGGAAATAACAAATATATGTTTTGCTTAATTTTTCAAGAAGAATCATCTCTTCAACCAATTGCATCAACTGGCAGAATAGTTCAAAACACCACCAGCATTGATACTACAATGAAACCAGCAAGTAAATTAACAGCAGTGATAAGAAGCACTGGTACACCTCCAACACAGTTCCCTGAAGTGTCTATGACACATAGTTCAACTGCTTCAATTACTTCACATGAAGCCACCACTAAAACACAAACAGTTGAATCAGGCACTGATACTATATTGGAACCAGTCAGTATAATAACAGCAGAGGAGAGAAGTACCGGTACACCTCTAACACAATCCCCTGAGGTGACTATGACTTACAGTTCAACTACTGGAATTACTTCACCAGATGTTACCACTAAGGCAAAAACAGAGGAACCAGGCACTGATGCTACATTCGAACCAGTCAGCACAACAACAGCAGAGGAGAGGAGCAAGGGTACAACTCCAACACAACCCCCTGGTGTGACTATGATATACAGTTCAGCTATTGGGATTACTTCACCTGAGACTAACACTAAGGCAAAAACAGAAGAACCAGGCACTGAAACAACTTTGGAGCCAGTCAGCACAATAAGAGCAGAAGAGAAAAGCACGATCATACGACCAAGTCTATCTGATTTGACTATGACATTCAGTTCAAATACTGGTATTACTTCACCTGAAGTTACTACTAAAGCAAAAACCGTAGAACCAGGCACTGATACTACATTGCAACCAGCCAGCACAATGATAGCAGACAAGAGAAGCACTGGTACACCTCCAACACAATCCGTTGGTGTGACTGTGACACCTGATGTTACTACTGAGACAAAAACAGTTGAACCAGGCACTGACACCACACTGGAACCAGTCAGTACAATGACAGCAGAGGAGAGAAGCACTGGTACACCTCCAACACAATCCCCTGATGTGACTTTGACACACAGTACAGCTACTGGAATTTCTTCGCCTGAAGTTACTACTATGGGAAAAACAGCGGAACCAGGCACTGGCACTACATTGCAACCAGCCAGTACAATAACAGCAGAGGAGAGAAGCACGGGTACAACTCCAACACAACCCCTTGGTGTGACTATGACGTACAGTTCAACTACTGGAATTTCGTTGCCTGAAGTTACCACTAAGGCAAAAACAGTCGAACCAGGCACTGATACAACATTGGAACCAGTGAGCACAATAACAGCAGAGGAGAGAAGCACGGGTACAACTCCAACACAACCCCTTGGTGTGACTATGACGTACAGTTCAACTACTGGAATTTCGTTGCCTGAAGTTACCACTATAGCTAAAACAGTCGAACCAGGCACTGATACAACATTGGAACCAGTCAGTACAATGACAGCAGAGGAGAGAAGCACGGGTTCACCTCCAACACAATCCCCTGGTGTGACTGTGACACCTGATGTTACCACTGAGGTAAAAACAGAGGAACCAGGCACTGATACTACATTGGAACCAGTCAGTACAATTACAGCATATGAGAGAAGCACTGGTATACCTCCAACACAATCCGTTAGTGTTACTATGATAAACAGTTCAACTACTGGAATTACTTCAGCTGAAGTTACCACTAAGGCAAAAACAGTTGAACCAGGCACTGATACAACATTGGAACCAGCCAGTACAATGACAGCAGAGAGAAGCACAGGTTCACCTCCAACACAATCCCCTGGTGTGACTGTGACACCTGATGTTACCACTAAGGTAAAAACAGAAGAACTAGGCACTGAAACTACTTTGGAACCAGTCAGTGCAATAACAGAAGAGGAGAGAAGCATTGGTACAACTCCAACACAACCTCCTGGCATGACTATGACATACAGTTCAACTACAGGAATTACTTCATCTGAAGTTACCACTAAGTCAAAAACAGTCGAACCAGACACTGGTACTACTTTGGAACCAGTTAGTACAATAACAGCAGAGGCGAGAAGCACAGGTACACCTCCAACACAACCCCCTGGTGTGACTATGACATACAGTTCAACTACTGGAATTACGTTGCCTGAAGTTACCACTAAGACAAAAACAGTTGAACCAGGTACTGATGCAACATTGGAACCAGTCAGTACAATGCCATCAGAGGAGAGAAGCACTGGTACACCTCCAACGCTATCCTCTGGTGTGACTGTTACACCTGAAGTTACCACTAAGACAAAACGAGAGGAGCCAGGCACTGATACTACATTGGAACCAGTCACTACAATAAAAGCACAGGAAAGAAGCGCTGGTACAACTCCAACACAATCCTCTGGTGTGACTATGACATACAGTTCAACTACTGGAATTACTTCAGCTGAAGTTACCACTAAGGCAAAAACAGTAGAAGCAGGCATTGATACTACATTGGAACCAACCAGTACAATGACGGCAGAGGAGAGAAGCACTGGTTCACCTCCAACACAATCCCCTAGTGTGACTGTGACACCTGACGTTACAACTAAAACGAAAACAAAGGAACCAGGCACTGATACTACATTGGAACCAGCTAGTACAATGACAGCAGAGGAGAGAAGCACTGGTTCACCTCCAACACAATCCCCTGGTGTGACTGTGACACCTGAAGTTACCACTAAGACAAAAACAGAGGAACCAGGCATTGACACTACATTGGTACCAGTGAGTACAATAACAGCTAAGGGGAGAAGCACGGGTACAACTCCAACACAACCCCCTCGTGTGACTATGGCATACGGTTCAACTTCTGAAATTTCTTCGCCTGAAGTTACTACTAAAGCAAAAACAGAGGAACCAGGCACTGGAACTACATTGGAACCACCCAGTACAATGATAGTAGAAGAGAAAAGCACTGGTGCACCTCCAACACAATCCCCTGGTGTGACTATGACATACAGTTCAACTACTGGAATTACTTCACCTGAAGTTACCACTAAGGCAAAAACAGTAGAACCAGACACTGATACCACATTGGAACCAGCCAGTACAATGACATCAGAGGAGAGAAGCAATGGTTTACCTCCAACACAATCACCTGAGGCGACTATGACATACAGTTCAACTTTTGGAACTACTTCACCTGAAGTTACCACTAAAGCAAAAACAGAGAAACCTGGCACTGATATTACATTGGTACCAGTGAGTACAATAACAGCAGAGGAGAGAAGCACTGGTACTCCTCCAACACAACCCCCTGGTGTGACTGTGACATACAGTTCAACTTCTGAAATTTCTTCGCCTGAAGTTACTACTAAAGCAAAAACAGAGGAACCAGGCACTGGAACTACATTGGAACCACCCAGTACAATGATAGTAGAGGAGAAAAGCACTGGTGCACCTCC